ACATACTCTATGTCAAAGTCATATCCAAGCAGTATTGTAGCCCATCTCATAAGTCGGTTAGCGGAGTAGACTGGAACTCCTTTCTTATCACCGAAGATGGCTAACAATGGTTGATGGTCCGTCAGAAGTAGAAACTTTCGTCCGAATATGTACTTGTGGAATTTCTTTACAGCAAAGACAATTCCCAATGCTTCCTTTTCGATCTGCGAATAGTTCTTCTCCGCTTTCGTAAGAGACCGCGATGCATGTGCAATTGGCTTTTCGGATTCATCGGCATATCTATGCGATATCACGCATCCGATCCCATAGTCGCTAGCGTCCGCTGCCACGACAGTCTTCTACCTTGGATCATAGTGAGCAAGGTTTAGCTCACTCGACAAAGTCTCCTTGAGCTTTTCCAACGCTTCTTAATGTGTTCGTGTCCATTCCCACTTCGCATCCTTCTTGAGCATCGCGTCCAATGGCCCACGAAGATCCTTTATCTTCGGCATGAACGCCACATAGTACGTTATCATGCCAAGAAAAGCCCTTAGTTGACTAACACTTTTCGGTTCTTCCATCTTCCTGATCGCTTCGATCTTATCTAGATTCGGCCTTCGTCCATTTCGATCTACAATGAAGCCAAGATATCGTATCTCTGACTTGCCAAAAGAACACTTCTCTAAGCGAATCCTAATCCATAATCGGCTGTCCTTGCAAAAACAGCTAGCAGATTTTCCATGTGTTCTTCTTCGGTTCGTCCACACAAGTATATCGTCCAGGTAGGTTGCTACCCCTCGCAGACCACTCACCATCTTGTTCATGGTTTGCTGGAAGATCCCTGGTGCTGTCTTGATTCCAAAAGGCAGTCTATTGTACTGATACAATCCCTATGCGTATTTATCACAACCATTTTCTTCGCTTCTTCTGACAACTCGATTTGTAGGTAGGCGTCCGACAGATCTATCTGCGAAAAGACAGTACCTCCATTGAGCGATGCGAATATATCCTCCGGCAATGGTAACGGATAATCGTACGACTCCAGCGCTTTGTTGAGCCCAGTCGAGAAATCAGCACACACTCTCAACTTCCCATTCGCTTTCCTTACACATACGATGGGAGCTGCCCATTCGCTATGTGTCACCGGACTTATAACCCTCAGGTCCAATAGCCTGTCAAGCTCCTTTTCGACGGCTTCGAGTGCGGCATGGGGGACAGGTCTACCAGCCTTGAAAACAGGACGAACGTTTTCGTCAACTTTCAAGCGTGCCTTTTCCTTCGTGCATAATCCCAAACCTTCTTCACAGACTTCTGGGTAGGCTTCCTTCAGCTTCAGAGCGATGTCCTTGGTTTGCTCCATCTTCACTTCGGCGGCCATTCTGCTTAAGTGATAGGACATATCTTCGTTCTTCTGGATCCACTCAAGTCCTAGCAGTGAGTTGTGGGGCGTCACGTATGCATAGCCTTCGCTTCCGGATCCTTTGATCTCATACTACTCACACCATAGCTTTCCATGGAATTTCATGGAACCTCCACTAGCATTTTTGACGACCACGTTTGTGTGCTCCAACCGAGGAGAACCCATGCTTCTCCAAATTGATTCGTTCAGCAATGTGATGTCCGATCCAGTATCTAATAGGAAGCTGACTGGATAACTATTCACTTTTGCTTCGATATACATGCGTGTCGAGTTGACATCCACCATCGCATTCGCAATCTTCGCTACGCTGTGCACATGGCGTTTTGGTTTCGTCCAACTTCTGTTCTTACTGATGTCGCTGCTTCTGTGGATTCTTCGTTCTTGCTGAACAAGTTCTTTTCTCTTCGCCACTTGTTGGCAATACTTCTCCTTGTGACCTGTAGCCTTGCACTTCTTGCAAAACCATAGCTTCGCTTTGCATTCACTAGCAAAGTGAGCTTTACCACAGTTCCAGCATTCCAGCTTCGCGGGTTCTTCCTTGCGCGTTGCTTCGACTATTTTCGTGCATCCAGCTATAGTCTCGCTATCTTTCTTGAGACTCAGAAAATTTTTGCATTCCAAGTGCAATTCCTGCAGCGAAATCTTTCGTCCAGCCTTGTATTCTCTATCCAGAACGACAATGAGTCGCTGTCTGATTTCGGCTTCTTTCTGGCTCTTCAAGCCAAATATCCATAGCAGGCACTTGATCCCATCGCTGTCCAGCTTGTGGATCTTCGCCTTTTCGCACAATTCGTTCACTCGGCCGGTGTACATGAGGTAATCCTCGGCGTCGTTCTTCTGCAGCTTTAAACACTGGTACCGCATTATAAATTCGGAGATCTTCACGTCGAATAATAGCTTTAATGTTTCGACGGTTTCTTCGAACTTAATCGCAGTCACCTCTTTCGGTAGCACATGCCTTTGATATTTTTCGGAACATTCCTTGTCGAGCTTTTCGCAAAGAAGCCTCACCCTGGCACTCTCTGGCAGCTGCTTCGCATCTTCGACGAAGACTTCCTTGTAGCGCGCGTACCATTTACTGAAGCATTCGTCCTCTTCTGGATCGAAGTAGAACTTTTCGATTCGAACATACTGGGCTGTCCAGTACCGGCGATGTGCTTCAGAAATGTCTCCATCATTTCTTGCCTCTCTTCTCTCATCATTTCCCTGAGGCTCTTCTGGTCTTCTTTGATCAGTTCCTTGAACATGATCAATAAGTCTTCTGTGCCTATTTTCGCCATTTGTGAACACTCCTGCTTTCGAGATTTCGTCTCCCTGCAGCTTCTTCGGCGTGGTTCCTGGCGTGCTTCTTCGTTACGGCTACTTCTTCACTAATAGCCGCTGCCTCCTGATCGCCACTGTTGTGTCCTCGACTTCGGACACTTCGACTCTTCGTCTTGTAGGGCGCAGAAGGAAGCCAATAAATTTATTAGAGAAATTATAGAGAACAATGAATATGAGGCGAATGATAAACTGAACTGAAACTGTAGAACTGAACACTGAGGCAAAGAATGAGCGCCTTTTATAGCGCTCAGTTTCCCGCGCACTCTGAGGCCAAGATCGAATGCGCGAGGGCAGATCACTACGAGGAAAACAGCTGATCATTGAGAAATCACTAACACGAAACTTATTGTTATGTATATCAAAATTAGCATATTATAGTACGTTTAACAAAATAAAACAAATTAATAAGTCAAATTGGAAAAATCGAGATTCGTAACTATTCGCAGAGACATCCAATCACTTCTATTCGTTGAAAAGAGTATGCCATAAAACTTAGATCAAAATAAATTCAAATTTTAGTAGACGTCTTAGCAACTTTAGTGACCAAAAATCGAAAAATCACTTTTTGCGTATTACTCTTAATCGCTTTATATCGTTGCCATATGCCCTCAAGGAATTTTGACTCGAACATTGTAATAAAACATTTTATTGAAGTGAAATGAATGAACTACAATGAACAGAGATTCAAAAATTGTCAATGCAAGAACTAGCATTAAGCTAAAAGAATTTTCTTTTGCGACAGAAGACATTTATGACCTTATATGACTAAAATTCTAGAAAGTCACTATTCAAATTTCCAAATTCCTTTTTACATTAGTAAGAGCACAAATGAGTACTATGGTTATTGGGCACATATAACCTTTGGCTATAATTCAAGATTGTGAAGTGCTGTTTGGAATTTATATAAGAAACTGCAAAATTTCTAGGATTCCCTTCAATATATTCGAGTCTTTTGTAGTTTATATGCATATTGCACATCATTCGCGCTACTTGACGACTTGGATTAGATCTTGCTCATTTCCAGTAATTTCTCCTTGTTTTTTTTTTGCTTCTTTTAGTTGCTTAGACGTGAGGAAGTAGTACAAATTTTTACAGTTTGTTACGCCAAAAGATGATTCTTAAGAGCTATCAGTAAGAGTGTCGTCGGTTGCCGCGCATAGTGGCAGACTCACATATTGAGCTATTGGGTTGTCCCATAAGTCTTTTCATATTCGAACCTTCAAATTGATATTTCTCAAGAACTAGAGCAAGGTTTCAAGTTTGTGGCAGTATTTCTAAGTGAATAAGCTATATTAATCGTACCAGATAAAGGAAAGATTGAGGAAGCAAAATCAATAAGAAAAGTTTTTTTGCGACAGATAGAACGATAAGTCAAGTTAGAACCTTAGTATTTACTCGAACTCAAAAGAATGTTTGCACAAATGTACAAAGAAGCAAAAGTTGTTGAAATGCCTAGAAAATGCTGAGAAAAAGTATGACGCACATCTGGCAAATTCCAATTCCATTGCCATAAAAACATGAGCTCAAGCGAGAATTGGTTTCGATCACATGCTCTAGCGTCTGAAAGGCTCTTATGTTCTTTGGACAAAAAGTAAAGAATGCCGCAAGTATAACAGGATAGATAGCTTCGAATGTAGGGTCCATGTAGGGTTTCTCGAGACTATGTAAAAGATAAAAAAACGCTGTTGATAAAATCCTTTGACTAATTTTGTGGTAATCTCGACCATCAACTTTACATTTATATGGAATTGAGTTTACAATAAGCAAATTTTGCTAAGAAATTTTCGGCCACAAAAAGCAGGGCTCGGCACAGGTGGGCTTATAAGCAAGGTGGACATCGGGCAACAAAGAGGATATCGTTTTTGTGGCTGAAAAGTAGGACGTTTTTTAGTCGACGTTTTATTTTTTGGCGGATTTTTACGTTTATGGTTTGAGGTCAAACAGGACTTCGTAAAATTTGGGAAAGTCATGACTTCGTTTCGTGCATTTTCGGAAAGCCACCTCGTGCCGAGCCCTGGCAAAAACTGCAGGCCAGTACACCTACTATAAGAAGACTTTTACTGGGCCCTGGTTCTTCCAACCTTACTGAAAAATGTGGGGAAAAAACTATACATTATGTCAAACTTCTTTCATGAAAAAATAAACGAACCGAATTTGTATTTTGTCAAATTCTCAGATTTTTTTCAAGGTTTAGATACTGCGTAAGAGCCCAAGCACATTCAAGGAGGAAAACCGGATGATCAAAACTAAAAGAAAAAGCGATTTTTAGAGAACTTACGCGTACTGGCCCTTTTGAAAGGTGGTCGAACCCGTTCCTCATGGGGCACTGAGCCATTGCCAACCAATTCGATTTGTTCGCCCATCCTTTGGTTGGCACTGAAATCGTCAGAATTCAACAGCGATAAGACCTAGAAAATATAAAATAATTATAGCTTTAGAAAGAGGTGTTGAAGGAAGCAAAGGCTTACGGGAAATAATTAGAGGTAAGAGCTGGAAATATCGGCAACGATCCGGAAAATTACTCTCGAAAAGCACGATATACTCAGGTGAAAAACTGCTATTACTTGTTCAGAAACTAACCGATTCGATGAATAGATAAATAGATTGAAATCTGCACTCTAAGTAGCATTTTTCTTCTCAAACTTCAGTGTAAGCTTCTAAAACGACCAATCACAGATAGATTACCGAAAAACAGTACAAACTACCATATTTCTATGACTCTTACTAGCAAAAATTCGAACTGTATGGGATTTTGAAGTGCCTATTCCATGAAATTTCCTTTAGAAGCCCTGATATTATCGCTGACGTGGTAGAAATGAGTTGGAAATGAGAATGTTTTGATCGATGTAGTGTCGAATATGTATCACCTGAGCTTCGCAGAATCCCAGACTTAGTAGACGACGAGTTTTACTCGAAGATTTCATTTCCGATATTCGAATAGGTCGTTTCTAGTACGAAATATGCATAAAAAGCCTCGAACTCCAAATTTCAGACTTATGCTTCAGATTTGCCCAATGCATTTCTGTATAGCGCTTCCCTTAATCTTCCCAAGTTCCCAACCAATTTTTGGATCATTGCCAAATCTTCTTTATTGCTCATTCGCCTAGCCTATATTTTTGGCGATGAAGGTGTAAGCACCGTTATAATGTGAACCTATAAAATGAGAGGACAAACCGCTTTTTGACTGTGTATTTCGTCACTTTGACTCCTTGGTAGAGAGTGGAAGCACCAAAGATCTGAAGTTGATCTTTAAAAGCATCCAAAATAATAATTTCAAACGCAGAACGTTGACGTTATTAAAATTAATGAAATTAGTAGAATGATACAGATCTGAATGTGATAAATCACTTCCTGTAAAATTTCAGAACAGCTTCATAGAGTGGACAGAAAAGATGGATACGACAGATTTTCCATCAATGCTCTATTTGAAAATTAAAAATTCAACAAATAAATACATTCAAAGATCGTGGCAAGATATCAGAACTCATTGAAAAGGGTATAAGTGTCATAGAGAAAATTAAACTAAAAATAGTTATAAAGTACTCCAACTAAAATGCTATGAAAGTTTGATTCTAATGGAATTTCAAATTAGCACTTTTGTACTTTCGAAGCCTGGCATCCGCTTCCTTAACTATTCATGAGAGAAGCATAAGACTGAAGCAGAGATAAGTTTCAAAGGTTTTTCAGTCAAAGAAGAAGATTAATCTTCTACGAAACAAAAACTAGAAAAAGTTTCTTGGATTATCCGTGATTGGAAAAGAATTAGAATTTCGGACTCAAGAAATAAGCTTTGTCAGCACTATTGACGGATAGTCTGAAGCAAAAATATTAAAGACGGGAGCAATCTGTTGTTTTCTCGGAGATGGAAAGCTGAAAAAATGATGGAAAGCCGAATAAATAATGATAGAAGTCAAGATAACGTCACTCTTCTTTTATGGTGTCCTAACCAGAAATAGCTAAAAACTAAGAGGCAAGCAAGTGATATTTCCAGATTTTCCGGCAAACAAAAATAAGATGCAGTTTTACGCCAAGAAGGTTTGAAAGCCGCAGATTTGCACACACAAATTTAATGAGAAACTTCATAATTTTAAAAAAAGCTGGCGAATTAAGAGTCAATCTAATTAACGGAAACTATAAACACAAACAATCTTCATAAGAGCGAATAAGCCTAAGCAAGGAAGAGATCTCAACAATTCATTTTTGTTTGTCGTGGTTCAGGCTTTGCCTTAGAACGGAAGCGAAACACAAATGACGGATTGCACAGCTCAAAGCCGCGAAGCTCGAATGTTGTAGATAAACAACATAGCAAAAAAATGGATTGGGGTGAGAAAGTAATAATGTGTAGAGGTTTTTAGCCATGAGAATTGCAAGATCCATAGCTAAGACATTGCAAATGGGAAGCTTTGCTCAAGAAAAATCTGACCAAAAATCTGAAACCTGATTGAACAAAAGTGGATGAACTAAGAGAACTCAAATTTACCGGAACTTCCGCAATGCAAACAAAACTTGCAGCGGTTCCGCAGGATTTTGTTTACTATTGCAAAAGTGGGAACTTTAGAATCGGAACTTTCGCAGGATTTTCACGTCAGACTGGTTGAAAATGGGAACTTCCGCAGGACTTGCCGCAAAACACTGCGGAACTTCCAAAAACATGCTGGCGGTTTTGCAGCACTCTGACAAGTCAGTGTTTTTTGAATGTGTTGTCTTTTACAATGTTGCCTCGCCAGCGACTAGAGTGCATTGCCGAACATGTCATCTATAGTGCAGAGGATAGTAAGTTACTTTCGCAGTTAGTAGAGCAAGATTCAGATCTTGCTTTGGTGTTCTTATTTGCTGTTGTGAATCGCATTCTTCGGAACTTCCGCAGCACCTCATCTGGGGACTTCCGCAGCACGTTTAGGAACTTCCGCAAGTGACCCGGCGGAACCTCTTCAAATGTTCTGCGGAAGTTCCGGCTAGTTGTCTGAGTAAGAGAACGAAGAAAAAAGACAAAATGTATTCCATTTCAGAATGCTCATTTATATCAGAGAAGAATAAAGCAAAACGAGGAAATTGGATGTAATATTAGGTTGTCTCATAATTAATGCACGTTTTTATTTGCTTGCTTTAACAAAGCAACCAGACTCAACCCAACAAAGGGTAAGGGGTACCATCCGATAGAGCAAAGCAAGCTCTATAAGATGGCACTCATGTCTTTGCGCCATGCTCGATCCATGGAGAGTTCGAACTCAAAATCTAAAAATTTCCAAATGCCCAAAAAATCGAAAAAAATCAGATCTTCATCCAAATAATTTCTACGGACCTCCCACCCGCTCACATCAATACTATCGACATCTGATATCCATATGTGCGATTGTCGTATTTTTTCCTTGACTAGAAACTGAGAAAACGAAAATTTCCCTGATTTTCTCAAAGCAATGCTGAGCCGTTTTTGCATATGCAGTTCTATACCACAAGCCTAGGTAAGCATAACTGTAGGTTTTCAGCCTATTTCGAGCGGTACTTTTCGAGAAATGTCGATTTTAGCACTGAAGCTGAAACGAAACAATCCGAATTCGTTATTTTTCGAAAACTACCGCTTGGAATGGGCTGAAAATCTACAGTTATACTTACCTTAGTAGTATAGAACTACATATGCAAAAACGAATCAGCATTGCTTTGAGAAAATCAGGGAAATTTTCGTCTTCTCAGTTTCTAGCCAAGGAAAAAATACGGCAATCGCACATATGGATATCAGATACCGATAGTATTGATGGGAGCAAGTGGGAGGTCCGTAGAAATTATTTGGACGAAGATCTGATTTTTTTCGATTTTTTGGGCATTTGGAAATTTTTAGATTTTGAGTTCGTACTCTCCGCGGATCGAGCATGGCGCAAAGGCATGAGTGCCATGTTGTAGAGCTTGCTTTGCTCTATTGAACAGTACCCCTTACCCTTTGTTGGGTTGAGTCTGGTTGCTTTGTTAAAGCAAGCAAATAAAAACGTGCATTAATTATGAGACAACCTAATATTTACAAAAAAAATTGATGAGTGCGTGTTTTGGCTTATCGCACTCGGAATCTCCAAAAGCAGCGTTTTCTGACAATGAAAAACTAGGAGGCTAATTCCAGTAAGAAAGGCAAATAAGGTCAAGTAAAAGTAGGCAAGTAGTAAAGGTACATTTTATTGTCACTTACATAGCTACACTTGAAAAAAATAACACCGAATAAATCACAAAAAAATCGTTTTTTGAAAAACTTTAAAAATATGCAATATGTTACTCTATGCTGCGACTTTGATATCCAAAAATCAACGAAAATCTAGTCAAGGTCTTACAAATTTCCAGCCATCACGTGTTAAATAATTAACATTTCGTCTGATGATTATGAACTTTAAAAACTGGAAAGCTCAATTTTTCACAACATGTTTTCAAAAAAATTGCGCAAGATTACTAAAAACACATTGACACTTCACACTTCAATAAAGCAATTGCGCAGAAAGCCACGTGCTTCTGATGCACTTTATGCCAAAAGTGCTGAGTGCGCATTTGCAATAATGCATTTTGACGAGGGTAAATATTAGAGTGGAGGGGTTGGGCTTTCGCACATAGTTCATTGTCAAGATCAGTGTTGGTCGATTGTCTTCGATTGAACAATTGCCTGTTGCAGAATTTCTGTTAGTGTGAAGGCACCGTCAACCCAAACTGAGGTGGTCAAGATATTGACGTCGTAGGATAGCGGAGCCCCTAATTAAGTAATCGCGCAAGTCTTGCAGCAAAAGATGAATTCTGAAGCGAGAAAAAGGCTTCAGAAGGTAGAGAAGGCTTAGGTTACTCCGCCCATCAACGTGAATGGTTTGAAGATAAAAACTCCAAAATGGAGCTTTACTATATCTAGAGGTGTCACAAATCCACCTTTTTTTAAAGCAATTATCAGATTTGCGACATTTCTATCTACCCTGGAGACCCCTTTCGGATTGTAATCGGACCACCCACGTTGATGGGCGGAGCCGCCTCGTCGCTTCTACCTTCTGGAGCAATTTTCTCGCTTCGGAACCCATATTTTGCACCGGAAATTGGGCCGATTACCTAGTTAGGGGCCCCACTATTATACAGCATCGAGGTCTCAGAACACTCAATTTCTTCAGGGGATCAAAATGACTAACTATTATATTTACGACCTATGCTAAAAGCAAAATCAATTCCAAATTCTCATTGTAAAAAAGAGAAGCGTATGACTCAACCCAAATGCATTACCATTTTTGGAGAAACAACAATTTTCTGAACAAAAAAAAACTGGACAGTTCAGATATGCTGTTAGTCTAAGATTTGATTGTGAAAAAAATATTCCAGATGGGGTCACACGGAATCGTTGGCTAAAAAAGTTACGAACACAATTCTTTTAACATTTTTTGCGACATTGACTTCAAAGGTTAAGATATAAGTAAGTCAAGGATTATTTAGGTCAAACATAATCTAATCACGAAATATCAAATTTGAAGATTACAAAAAAACAATAAAAGCTGCGCGATGAAATGGTTCTCAATATCAGCCAAACTTTCTCGATTGTTAAAGATTTATGTTTGATGATTTTACCCTAGCACTGTCACTTTATAAGATAAGAGACATCATATAAAAAATTTTCCTATGATTACTATAAGACCGACTGCGATAATAAATGAGAAATATGACCCATGTCCGGAAAATTTGAAAAAGAAGAAATTGCTGGAAAGAATTTTTGGGACAGGAAGCAGATGCATTACACCAAACATGAAGCAGCAATCATCAGTTGCGAACGTATTTTGCTGAAGGATTTGTAAACACAAACTAAAAAGTCAAAGAATTTACTTTTGCTGGCATCGCTAGATCAAAGACGAGAATCTTATGCCAGTTGTTCTCAAGAAAAAAAGTACTAGAATTCGCTTTGCAGATAATCGCAGACAAATCTGAGTGCCATAAAAACTCGGAGCCATTTCATTATCCTGCTAGAGTGTTTGTTCCGACTTTTGGAAATGCAATGATGAAGAGGATCCGGATAAAAAAGACAAAACAGAGCTAAAATCTTGCTAAAAGTGAGCATACTCTATTAGAGAATTTGAAATGAAGCAAATTAACGGAATCAGCAGTCGCTTCTTCGTGCCCCTTCAATATTTATTATATGCTATAGGCACAAGCAGCAAACAGCAAAAACTTGTTCGGACTTTAAAACGTTGGTCGTTCTCCATTTCGAAAAAAAATCTCATTTCAAGAGGTCAAGCGA